GGTGAGAGCTCGACCGTGCTATCTTCCTGCGCACTTTCCCGTCCCTGGTCTTCTTGACTCTGTCTTGATACCGCGTCCTGATAGGGAGTAGGGAAGAGGGAATGTGGTAGATGCTTCGCAAGTCCGCATTCACTATAAGCTAATTCACACGCAAATCACCGTGCCTGATCTCACCTTGTTGTGGGGCACACGATGAACATCGTCGAATGCAACGGTCAAACTGTAGTGTGTGGGTGTGCGTATGTGTGTGTGGGTGTGTGGGCGTGTGTTTGCGCTTTGACAAACGACAATGGGCTGTTGCTTCTACGCACCTGCGCAGAACACCGCCTCATCCTGACGAACACCTTCTTCTGTCTGCCGGAGCGAGAGGAGGCCACCTGAAGGCATCCTCGGTCGCGTCAGCGGCACCTGCTGGAATATGTCCTCGTCCGGAGGCGAGGTCAGCGGGACGTGCTGGTGACAAAGGCGATCGCGGGCCCTGACGGGTGGACCGACCATCGCCTCGTCATCCCGCAGATGCGTATTCGCCTACAGCCTCGCAGGAGACCACAATGTAAGCGACCCCCAGGTAAGCTGAATATTGCCTTGTTGTCATTGCCTGCTCACCATCTCCATTTCTGCAATGAACTAACTCAATGACTAGACAATCTTCCCATCGCTGCCCCTGCCGCCGACGCCGCCGCTGATGAGAACGCCTGCATAAAGAACCGCTGGTGTCAACTGCGAGACACGGTCCAGTCGACGGCGCTAGCCGTCCTCGGTCACGCTCGCCTCCAACACCAGGACTGGTTCGACGACAACGACGCCAAGAAGAACCGCCTACACAAAGCCTACGTAGACCACCCAACTGAGGACAACAAAGCTGCTTTCTACCGCAGTTGCCGCCACCTTCAGCAACGGCTGTGTGAGATGCAGGACGCCTGGACTGCTCGCAAAGCTGAGGAGATCCAAGGGTACGCGGACCGGAACGAATGGAAGAACTTCTTCTCTGCGATCAAAGCTGTCTACGGTCCGCCGACAAAGGGCACTGCTCCTCTCCTCAGCGCCGACGGGAACACTCTCCTGACTGAGAAGACGCAAATCCTACAGCGATGGGTCGAGCATTTCCGAGGCGTCCTCAACCGCCCCTCCGTCATCTCCGACGCCGCCATCGATCGTTTGCCGCAAGTGGAGACCAACGTGGACCTCGACCTCCCGCCATCTGTCCAGGAAACCATCAGGGCCGTGCAGCGGCTCTCCAGCGGGAAAGCACCCGGATCGGACGCAATCCCTGCTGAGGTCTACAAGCACAGATGTCCCCAACTGATGGATCACCTGACTGCGCTCTTCCAGGGGATGTGGCGTCAAGGTGAAGTACCGCAAGATTTCAAAGACGCAACCATCGTGCATCTATACAAGCGAAAAGGGAACCACCAAGTCTGCGACAATCACCGCGGCATCTCCTTGCTGAACATCGCCGGGAAGATATTCGCTCGCATCCTTCTCAACCGCTTCCATAACCATCTGGAACAGGGCCTTCTGCCGGAAAGCCAATGCGGCTTCTGTCGTCATCGTGTGACCACGGATACGATCTTCGCCGCCCGTCAACATCAGGAGAAGTGTCAGGAGATGCGGACCCACCTGTACTCTACCTTCGTGGACCTGACGAAAGCCTTCGACACAGTGAATCGTGAAGGACTGTGGAAGATTATGCAGAAATTCGGCTGTCCGGAGCGATTCACTCAGATGGTGCGTCAGCTGCACGACGGTATGATGGCGCGAGTCATGGACAGCGAGCTGTCTCAGAGGCATTCGCAGTGACCAACAGAGTGAAACAGGGTTGTGTGCTGGCGCCCACCCTCTTCCGTCTTATGTTCTCTGCCATGCTGATGGACACCTACCGCGACGAACGCCCCGGGATCCGCATCGCCTACAGGACGGACGGTCACCTCCTGAAGCAACGACGGATGCACTTCCAATCGCGCGTAACCACAACCACCGTTCACGAACTCCTCTTCGTCGACGATTGCGCCCTGAACACCACCTAGGAAGAGGAGATGCGACGGAGCATGGACCTGTTCTCCGCCGTCTGCGAGAACTTGGGCTGGTTATCAACACGCAGAAGACGGTGGTGATGCATCAGCCGCCACCCAAAACAGCCACGACTCCCAACGCGCCGCAAATCAGCGTGAATGGGACCCAACTGCAAGTGTGGAGAACTTCCCGTACCTGGGCAGTACTCTCGTCCGCAACACCAAGATCGATGACGAAGTCGCCAACAGGATCTAGAATGCCAATCAAGCCTTCGACCGCCTCCAAAGCACAGTTTGGAATCGTCATGGTCTTCAACTGAGCAAGAAGCTAAAGATGTACAAGGCCGTCATCCTGCCGACGCTGCTGCACGGAGCGGAGACTTGGGCAGTGTACACAAAGCAGGTACGTCGACGGAACCACTTCCACCTCAGTTGTCTTCGTCGCATCCTGAGGCTGAACTGGTAGGATCGAATTTCCGGCACTGAATTGCTGGAACGGACGGGAATCGTCAGCATTTACACCTTGTTGAGACAAATGCAGCTGTGTTGGAGCGGCCACGTGGTGCGCATGGACGACGAGCGACTACTCAAACTACTCTTCTAAGGAGACGTCGCGACGGGTTCTCGCCGTCAAGGAGGTCAAATTCGCCGATACAAGGATACTCTGAAGTCCGCCCTGAAGCGTCTGAAAATCAACCGGACCGACTGGGAAGAGCTCGCACTCGACCGACCGACCTGGAGTAGAATCGTGAAGACGGGGACTGCTATCTACGAAGCCAACCTCGTCGCCGCCGCCAAAGTGAAACGCGAAGCACGCAAATCACAAATTCGCCCAGTACGCAACGCCGACACACAACCGCTTCCAACATGCTCTCGATGCCAACGGACATTGCGGGCACGAATTGGACTTGTTGAACATCTTCGGATCAACTGCATTTCTCGGATTGCACCAACCGTCGTCCATCCACCCGACTCATACTCGTCCTCACTGCCGCCAACTAACTCTGACAATTCTTCTGAACCGCCATTTCCATCCTCCTCCTCCTCCTCCTCCTCCACTGCCCCAACGACGACCGCTCTGTCAGCTGTCCCTCACATCAACACCACACACATGCCTGACACAACAACAGACACCACTCATCCAAACTCCGACTCCGGAGATTAGGACCAGTACCACATCTGCCCTCAATGCGACTTCACCTTCACCTCGCACATCGGCCTGGTCGGTCATTTGCGAATCCACCGCAAAGAGGCTGGCGAACCAATGCCTGGAGTACCATCCTACATCCACCGCACTCACTTTCACTGCCCACACTGCCCTCGCTTCTTCACGCATTGCATGGGCCTCTTCGGCCACATGCGTATCCACGAGAGTGGAATAGACCGCCCTCCCGACTCACCCATCACGCCAAACTCCACACCCACTTCATCACCCAGTGCGCCCACCACCTATACAGCAATTGACACCGACACCACCGACTTCACCTGCCCACACTGTCCACGCTCATTAACGTCTCGCATCGACCTGGTAGGTCACTTGCGAATCCATCGCACAGAGACAGGAGAACCAGTGCCTGGAGCACAAACCTCTATCCACCAAGCTCGACTCAACTGCCCAAACTGTCTTTGCACTTTCAGGCAGCGCATAGGCTTATTCGGTCACATGCGCATCCACTAGAGCGGAATTGACAGCACTTCCGACACACCCACCACATCGAACACACCCACGATGACCCGACCCATCCCCGTTTTGTCGCCCTGTGCGCCCATAACTACCACAAACATCACCGCCGCCGCCGCCACCACCACCTCTGTAGCCTACCTCATATCCCTGACCACATCCTCGCTGGTAACAATGTATATCCATTCTTTTTTTAGTTTCTCCTATGGCCTGTTAACCAGAAGGGAGAACTGCATTGATTATGTGAGGACTGGCTCTTTTCATTGCGGGCATCACCACACTCAATTAAATTCACTTCTGAAGACAAGTAGATCTGAATACGATCGTTGCATTTCACATCTTCCTCTGGAGCAGCCATCTTATGAAGGAGCACCGTGACGATGAAATTGCCTTTTCTAGTGGAAACCACCTAATCAAATAGCCATTTTTACAACCCATGAAATGAAAGATTCTCTAATGTCACTGAGACTCCCATGCCGTTCAGGACGATTTACACCATTACCGGCGACTGAAATCCTACAATGTTGAACGAGAAGGGGAATTTTTACGACATTCTGCACACACTCCTCACGTTTTTTGCCGAAAGCAGACAAATTAACTGTCTTCAGTGACTTTAACATCTGAGTATGCATAAGTCACGTCGCCCGGGAGAGGTGCTTGGTAATCATGGGATAAGCCGCTGCAACGGTAACGGGCTCCTTTTCTTGAAGAGTTGCGTGGACTGGAACCTCTCCCTTACCACCGTCTCCTGAGGACTTCTGAATTGCAGGAAGGCAACACGAATGCGCCATATGCTTCAACAGTGGCAATTGCTGGACGTTCGGTCGAAATGACGAGATTGTCGAAAGCCACTTGCGCAACCGTTATCGTATCCACCGTAACCGGCGTGCCAAAGACACCAGAACTACTTTGATGACGACGACTAAATGCAGTGAACGATCTCTGAGACAATTAACTTCACTGGATAACAACACAGTCCAGAAAAAAGTCGTCCCCCACGGTACCAAGGACTAAGGAAAGCACAAGGTAATTGGTTAAATATCGCAGTCGATGAAATCCAAGGACACGCAAATTCGGATGAAGTTAAGAACCTCCTCTGTGCATCGAGACAGTCCAAAGTCCCCAACCCAGTGGAACTGCGCCACTACTCAGAATCGGTGTAACAAACCTTCTGACAGAAACATCAGTAATTCCAAAGCGTTGAGTGGGACAATTTAGTTGCGTTTGCAAACACAAATCTATAATCTGCTGAAGAGTCCTCAACAGACTTCCTCGATGCTGACCCGGAGTGTCCGTTCTTTCTGTAAAAAACAGGCGGAGAAATGCAACAGATGTCAGCTGGAAAAAGTCTAGACGCTGACTCAAGTCCGGATAAAATTTACGAACACGACGGCCTCGTATTCATGACCGAGCTTACTTCGTTGTTCCAGAGGAGGCGTCCACAAGGAAAAAATCCCGCGAGATTATAGGCACTCAAGCGTAGTTCGACCAAACGAAAGCAAAGCAACCGGCAAATCTACAACAATAACTGGGGATTTTCGTTTCTCGATACTGCTAACAAAATACTCGTCGGCTTTCTACCTATTAATTAAAATGTACAATGACGATGACTTCTTCTCGCGATTTATTGTGGGTTCAGGATAGACCGCGAAACCATCGATATGATCTTCCAATTGCGGTCACTGCAGGAAATTGTTGAGAAGTTAAGATTAACCGCTACATGACCCTCGTGGGTTTCATGATAGCCTTCAAAAGCGTGAACCAAGATGGTCTGTTGAAAATAAACAGTAGAGTTGGATACTCTGATAACTCTCAGTCACGCACGTTCATGATGGCATGAAGATGCGTTACAAACAGGGAAACCACATCGGGGGCTTGAGCGTTGTCCAACGGGGTAAAGCGCAGTTGTGTCCTCCCCACAACCTTCTACGCACTACTGATGGGCGTCCACATAAAGAATGGACCAGACTTCGACATAAACCACAGAAACGATGGGAAACTATTCAACATCCACTGTACATGGACCGACATCAAGACCACGGAGGCCAGGATACATGATCTTCTCTTCGACAACGGCGTTTATTGAACCCTGGATCTGGGGCAGACATAAGGTGAAGTCTGCACCTATTCGCCTCCGGTTGCGCCAACACTCATGTAACAGTTATCATGTGCCAGCCGGCGCCTACAGTCGACTCCACGGAGAATTTAAGCGGCAATCCTCCAGCACATATACCTCCTTATCATAAGTCTGCGCACTCTTCAGTATAGTAAATGTGGTGCACATGAACATATCCGGGTGAACTAAAATATACGACTTGGAATGACGGTTAGACTGAGAGGAATCCTCCCTAATGAGGCTTCTAGGAAACTCCTCACTGCTATGTGACGCCTGTCAGACAGAGCCGGTAGGTCAAGTTAACCACCGCGTCCAGTCTCATTTCTACTCGCTTTGACTCACACGAGCCAGCGATTTATTGAAAGGGGAAGGGAGACTGCGATCGGTTCTGCCCGGATCTAGCACAAAATTCTGCACCATAAACAGTCGAACTATCTCGACACACCAACAGTCCTCGCTTAGAAAGTTACCATGTGACGCAGTAACTCGATCACGCTCGGGACTTAGGCTCAGACCAGTTGGTATGTGGCACAGACAGACTGGCTGTTTGTCTTTGCTAGTCACTGCATCCGCGCCCACCTACGGCCTCTTGACTTCGTCTTGCCCATGGAACACGGTGGATGTAGGAGGAGCGAGTGAGGTAGCAGCATTGCAAGTTCCTTCTACTATGAACAACCTCAGACTGATGGCTGTATCCGACTCGTGAGACATTGGTGGGCTTTTTCACCTGCGTCGGAGAAATTAAGATGATCGGCTCTTGCGGTGGTCGACGCTGCCGCTTGCCCATGCCTCCGTTTGTACGCCTAACACTGCTGCTTGCAAGCCTGTGATCAGACAGTTCGACCGTCGTTGCCGACGGTGTCCACTGTGTGCTCCATAGCAAGGTGTATTAGGGACGATGACTTACGTGTGAATTAGTTTATAGTGAATTTAGACTAACGCAGCATCTACCGCACTCCCTCCTCCTTCCCCCCCTCCTGGGCCCGGTGTCAAGACATAGTCAGGACGACCGGAGGCGGAGGAGGACGCAGATGGATGGCACGGTCGAGCCCGCATCTTGTCGTTCTACTTCACATCTCATGGTCCACACAGTAATGACCAGGATTTTATTCAGCAACAACAATGGGGAGTACGCGAACACTGGTGACAACTCGGCCTCCCACCGCACCCCGGAATGTTGGCGTTTGTTATGGTGCGCATTCCGATAACGCCTGTCAGGTTCCGATGCGGCCCCCGTGTTGATCCAACGCTTCTACCACGTGGCCTGTTTGGGGCGCAGGCCTGTGATCCAGCCTTCGGCTCGCCGACGCCATGACGCCGGTTAATATTTTTGCTCTGATTGATTGGTCGTAGTCACACAAAGTCCAGGCGAAAGCACATAGTTTACACCGGGGAACAGTGTTAACGACTGCAAACGGCTGGTGAAATCTGAGTGTGATCGCTGGGGACTATAACGGCTAAAGTATCTGTTCTTATTGCCGCGGCATGCTTCCTACCACCAGAGTGATGAGAATTTTATGATGGTGAATATTGTAGCAACCTTTTCTGCGAAAACCATTGTACAAACGTGGATCTGGCTATTAAAGCTTAATAATCACTACTGTATCCACCGAAATTATAAGATTTTCAGAAGGAGCACCTATTCCGTAGGTCACTGAGGTCGGTTTAGTTGACGATGCAGTATGTTACTCAGTAATTTGACTAAGACATAAAATAGGAAGTAAAAACAGCAAAGAGGAAGCAAGTTACAAAAGTACAACAGAATAGGTCCACAGAAACGAGTCACTTTACAGGCAAAAAAATTTGTGCGGCCTTCATTTCTAAACAAGAAGTTATAAGTGGTAAAAAAGAGAAGCATTCAGCTCAGATTCAAAAGGCGCTGTCGTCACTTAAGCCTTCATAGATTCCTGGGAATTGTCTTCAACATTCCCGCTTTCTTTTTTCCCCTGCTCAGACTCCTCTTGACCGGAATCGCTGACTCCCATAACTCCAGTGCCTCGCCTTTTCTTCGGTCTACTCTTCTTTCGTTCCTTTTTCTCTGTTTCAGTGTTGACCTCCATCGGCGCTTGCCCAGATGCTGGAGCACTAGCAGCCTTTTCTTCTGAGGTCACGACGGCGGATTCTTTCTCTAATTTTTCTCCCGACGGTACATTCTTTTCTTCCGCGTCTTGCCTCGGTGACGTCTGCCACTGTCCTCGTTTTTGTTGTGGGCTTGCCTGCGTTTGCGTCTTCTGTGGACTGCCCTGTCGTATTTGTGGTTGGTTCGGCATGGGTTTGGGTGCGTGTTGTTGTTGGCCATGCATTGAGGCATGTGGCTGCTCTACTTTTGGACTGTCCGCAGACGCTGCCGGTGTTGGAGCTGGGCGTT